AGACGTGCCTTGAGTTGGAGGAGGAATTATCGCAGATTGGCAGCGACATTGAAAAGAAGACCGCTTACGTAGCTTCGTTGAAGCGCAAGAACTCTCAGAAGCATTGGCAAACCATTTTGCAGGCTGAAGGCCTTATTGCCCTTGAAGACGAGGTCAAAGAGAAGGAGCAACAGCTGCAGGTCATAAGGGGCCAACTGCTTCAGGCAATGCTGGATACCGGCGTGGCCGATCCCCTGATGGCGGCCCAAATCATCACCCAGCATGAGAAGTCCAAGATTTTGCTGTCCGAGACCACTGCCAAATCCTCGGAGGTGGCTGTGCGCGTGGAGGAACTCGTGTCTCAAGTTGAAGACTTGGTGCAGCCAGGCCTAAATCGCTCTGACCTCTGGACGTTTGTGGATACTGAGGACCTCGAGCCACTTTCCCAGGCCATGCATGTCATCAATGACAGGCACGAGGAGCACATGCGGTTCTTGGCAAATCACAAGGCTCAAGTCTTTGGTGCGGTGGTCAATAAGGCTGCAGAGGAGCTTCCTAGCCAGCAGCTGCCTGGCGGAAGTGGAAGTTTTGAGGCCCACTCCGACTGAGCTCCTTATCCTGAGTGGCTTTAGCTGATGGCCCCCTGGCAGTATGGCCTATGGTCTGTGGTACGGACAATTTTGGGCACCTGCTACACGTGGGCTTCAAACAGAGCCCTGCCTGAATCCAGGTGGGTTCGTGATTTGGCGAGAAAACATTTGTGTCAAGAAACGATTCTGCTTGGCTGCACCAGTTGCCTTAGACCAATCCTGTGCTGGCAATCCGCAATGTCTAAGCTTAGCGAGTGCGCCACGGGCAGTCAATTCCACTGCCCTGCTTCACTTCGGCAGGCCAGACTAACCTCTTGTCAGCGTGGTACTCGTGGGCAGCAGTCTTAGCGCAGGACTTCGGACAATCTGACATGACGGGCCTGTAGCCCGATGCGTCCAGTTTATTCTGTTTAGTTTGCGTCAGTGCATGAACGCTCCCTGAAAATCACGGCAGATCATGCAAGCAGGATTCCCGGATGCATCGTCTGCCATTGAGCTAGGTGCTTTTCTTGTTCCTGGTGGCGATTTCCATCTATGGTATAGAATAGTACAGTCTATAATATGGTATAGTCTAGATTTTTGGTTTTGTGCTAGCCAAAAAATCATCGGTCGGTTCCTGCCACCTGCGGTGACTCTGAAGGTGGACACGCAGGGGCGCATCCCGAGAAGACAAGCATTCAGAGGCCTGAGAAAGGAGAGCCCTTGGCGGGCAACAGTGTTTCAGCAAGTGGACAATCGTGGGCACAGTTCCTTGAAATCGCTCGTGAAGCTCTTCGTAAGCGCATTCAGCCTACTGCAGAGCTTATGCTCAGGTCTTTCTTTTGCCGGACAGCAGCGCAGCCAAAGAAGGAAACAAGCAACAACTAAGAAAAGCCCTGGTGTAGAACTTGACTCTGCGCTAATTACTGCGTAGACCTTTAACCTTACCTCTGTTGCAATGCAGCCAAGAAAGCCAAGACCACAAGCAACGACATGCGTCCCGACGATGGCCTGTCAGACCAGGATTCACGAACAGCATTGCGATCACTCGAGCTAGAAGCAGCTAGTACTCTTGAAGGCTTTGCCTCATGGTCCCGCAACCGCCATCAACAACCTGTTGGTTATTTGCTGCCCTGGCTTGTCTAGAGCATGGGCAGGCAGATGTTCGGAGTGGTGAAGTCGTTCTCCCCCGGCGAAGGTTGGGGATTCATAGCATGCAGCAGTGCACAAGAACTGCCTGAGGGGTGCCTGTTCATGCTGGGGAGATCAAGTGAATGCACTTTCATTGACTCATTGAGGCTTCGAAAGGCCTGACTGCAGCAAGTACGCAACATGTACGTCAGGTTTGGAAATGTGTGGAACGGTGCAAAATCTTACAAAGGTTATGGTTGTCTTACTTGTGAAGCTTTCCCTGAACGGCAGATGTTCTTTCACTGGACAGATGTTTGGTCGCCGGTGACAGCGCCATCATCCTCCTGAGCTTGGACCTGAAATCTTTTAGGGAAACTCGGAGCCGACCCACAGCCCTAAACCTCAGAAGTCCGGAACTCTGCCTTTACTTACTACTCAGGATATGTAACGGGAATCTTGGGCGGATTGCACATGCTTGGCCTGCTTGAAATGAAGTCGAGCCCGGGTTCTCAAATTCTTGGCTTCTGCGCAATGTGAAAAGTGGCTGAGCTTACGGGCAGTTGGTTTCCAGGGTTTAGGCTGTAGACAGGTTTAGAGGGGCCTTTTCGGCACCCAGATGCCAGACTCTATGAGATTTTCGGCATTATGGTTGAGCGTGTCGGAAAGACTCGGTTGTCGTGCATTCCTGTGCAGTCTTTGCCTTGTTGACCCATACCAGCCGCCAGAAAGCCCCTCGACTGACATTGCGAGGCAAGCATGTGGGGGATGGAGAGTTGATGAGATGAAGGGATTGTTTCATGGTACTGTGTGCGACCGTTAGCTGGATCAAGTTATTCCGGCGTAGAGTTTCTGGCAGACTGGCCAGTTGCGATGGCTTGTCCGCGCCTCAGCCTGGCAACGGGCTGGCAGCTTCTGTTTCCAACTGTCGTGCATGTGCAATTCCTCAGTCGTGTTTATGTCCTAATTCGCAGGCAGTTGCATGTGGTGCACTTTGGAGCGGCTATTCCCAGGCATGGCATCGCCAATAACAATTCGGCGTCCCGTGTCGCCTGCAAGGGACCTATTTGCCATGTTTTTTCCTTCGCTTCCGATGCGGATGCAGAAGCTTCTTGCGAGGTGAGCCATGTGCCGATACCCATGGCGGTTCGACAAGCCCCACACACGGCCCACAACATGCACGCCGCGGCTCCAACTGCACATGCGCACCACGCAGCGCACACGGTGCACGCGCACGGCACCCATCAACAGCAGCAGGCCGGACACTGGGAAGGGAAGCGGGCCGGGAAATGGCTACCTGCTACCTCCTCTTCCTTTTGCAGCCCGAACAGGCGAATGTGATGCCGCTGAAAACGGCACCGGGCTTTGCTGTTGTCGCATGGAGAGTGGAGGGACTTCTGAGAAACGGAAGTGCTGTCCGGCTTCGAGGTGGCTCCCGTGCACTACTCCCCGGCCCAGAGCGCTCGTGCGGCCACTCAAGGAGTTCGAAGCTTAAAGACCGGGCATCGCTTCTTGAAGTTTCGTCACATGGGCAGAGGTGGTAGGGCAGTATGGTAGGGCACATGGAAGCAGTCACCCTGAGCCCAAGGTAGCTTCCACCTCTTTGCCGCAGCCGGGCCCCCTCAGCTGCTTCTGGTAAGAAAAGGATTGGTATCCCCGGGAGCCAAGGCGAAGCCCACATGTGGTCAGCAACAAGAACTTGGGCTCATCTCTCACAATAACCCTCGGCGAGTTCTTGCGCGATAAACGGCTGGGCCGGAGCTCTGTTTGGTGAGGCCATTACATCTTGGGCCGTACCATCGGCACAGACCCCGGTCGCATCGTGAACTTCCTCAGACCCGTTCTGTGTGCTTGGCAGGTGAGGGTACGTTCGGCAAGGTAAAGCTTGGAAGGCTTCTCCTGGAGTTTCAATTCAGCTCAGCACCTCGAAACTTCTTTCAGCACAAAGGCTGAATATCTTGCGCCAGGCATATCCTCACTGGTGAGCGTGTCGCCGTCAAGGTCTTAGAAAAGGACCGCATCCAGGAGGCGTGCCTCCCCAGCAACCTAGAGTGCCAGGCGTTTTGCTTTTGTCAGACTTCCAGCTGGAATCGCAAGACGTCAGAGCACCCTCGCAGAGTGCTCCAAGAAATGTGGAATGTAGAAACGACATGAAACGACCCAAAGCGCCAAAGGCGATGGCTTTGTAGACGCATGACCGTATATGACCGATGTTGCAGGTAGCCGACATCGAGCGTGTGGCCCGGGAAGTGCAGCTCCTCAAACTGATCCGGTGCCCTGCATTGAAACTCTAAGGCCAAGCTGCCGATAAGTAGGTCGTGGTTAACACCTTCCATTGGACGGTGCCGAACCCGAAATCCAAGGCACCCACACGTGGTGCAGCTTTTCGAGATTATCGAAACACGCGGTCAGCCGGAGCCCGGCTCCGGTTTTAGCATCTCCTGGTGTAATCTCCGTCCCTCTGAGGCTTTACCTCATCATGGAGTATGCCTCCGGCGGCGAACTCTTCGACTACATTGTCCAGAACCAACGGGTTCCAGTCCGCGGACTCAGACCTCCCAAGATGCAAGTCAGCAAGTCGCAGCGGTCCATTCTTCGTATGGGGCAATCGCAGGAACCTGAAGCTTGCCGTTTTTTCCATCAAATAATCGCCGGCGCAAGCACCTCAGCCCATGCACCTTATCAGAGAGTTCCAGCAGCCTCTGAGTGCCCTGGGAGGTCGAGCAAATTCACGCGATGAACGTTGTTCATCGCGTCTGGGGCCCGGCTGAAGCTCCGGCATGCAGACATATGCAGACATGTCGCTTTCGCATTCTCAAGTGAGGACCTGAAGCCCGAGAATCTGCTTCTGGATGAGCACTGCTCTCAGCTAGCAAGAACATCGGTGCCGACGAATGAGCCCACTCCTTCGAGGCACAAGTGCATCAAGATTGTTGATTTTGGGCTCAGCAACGTTTGCAGCCTCAGTCGACACTGATGTTTGCAGCAGAGTTTGTAGAGGCCGCATGATCATAAGACACATTTCCAGCATTTACACGCGTTACAGTGAGTTCACTGGACTCCACATCTCACTGCGAGCTTTCCCGTTGCCCAGCGCTTCGACGACAACCAGCTGCTGAGAACTGCCTGCGGCTCTCCTTGTCTCGGGCTGAGCAGATGGACCCAGGGTGCAAATAGTTTCGGAGCGATCGTGAGATCAGATCAAGACTTGCTGAAAGTCAATGTGTTAACGTGTTAACTGTGATCTTCACAGCGGATTGAAGTGGTGTTGCAAGGCTACGCTCCTCCGGAGATGGTCTCGGGACAGAGCTCCACACCGAGAGTAGAATTTGGTTGCATACGAGGTGTTGCCCCTGTCCTGTTTGTTCTTTCTCTGGGGAGTCTGAGGCTATGTTCCACAGATGTGCGATCTCTGGAGCTGTGGTGTAATCCTCTTCGCCGCGGCCTCGAAGTCCGGTTGTTCTACGAGATGTGCAACAAGAAGCGACGACTGCGGCCATTATACGGTCGGCAGAACTACAGGCGATGGTTTGCGGATTCTTGCCCTTCGAGGAGAGGTGGGGGAAAAGGCTCAGGGAACCTTCGATGAAGGGTTTTTCCACTTTACTACCCGTACCCAACCCCAAGAGTTCATCTTCTTGACCTCTTAGACAGCGAGGACTCCAACACCTCGGCGCTCTACAAGAAGATCCTCGCAGCCAACTACACGGCTCCCTCCTTCATCACGGACTCCGTGAAGGATTCCTCAGCTTCCTTGCAGATGCCCCCGATCTTTGTAGGTTCAGGGCTGCCAACTTGAATTGTGTTGGGCGTGAAGGCCCCGCCAAATTGAACGAAAGTGCAGGAGCTTATCGCAGGGCTCTTGACAGTAGACCCGGCCAAGCGCTTCACCATTGCAGATGCCTGGCCCTCAGAACGGCAGCGTACAGCAGGCTACCAACACAACTGCAAAGCGATTGCAAGCACATAGACGGAAGTAAGTGCCAGCAAGAGTGACTCTGCACACTGCACCAGTTTGATATCAACAAGCAAAGCTGCACGTGTGTGTGTGTGTATGTTCGCTCGAAGGTGAGAGGGCATGAGTGGTACCGCCAACTCCCGGAGGACGGAGCGACATGCCTCAGTGCACATCACTTTATTCCTCCGAACACTGACCAACGCCTATCGCAAGAGGCATCCGTCCGTCCACGTGACTTGGTGTCACGTCAGTGCGGCTGAGAGCTTAACGATGCAGGACTGGAGGAAGATGTTTCTGGCATGTCTGGCAAATCCCAGATCCTTGGCTGTGCCCGTTGTTTTCTTGAGGCCTGGAAGAAGACGTGTTGCAGGAGCTGAAATGCCACGGTGCGGAGCTCACTTCAGAAAGCTCTAACTCTAAATGTCCTGCTTCCGACCTCACACGCAGAGCTGGCTTGTCGCAGGCTTTCCTCAGGAATATGCCACAAACTGCCTCCTGAACAACAAGCACAACAGCGTCACAACTACGCCCGGCACCCGGAGTCCGACGCCATCACGCCCAGACGTGAATGGATGCTTCCACGCAAACGGATCACGGCTGCCTTGCATTCAGAACAAGTCCGCAGCGCCAAATCTTCCCATGCAAGACCAAGTGCTGCCCCGTCGTGCTACGACTATGAACAGGATCTTCGCAGCATGTTGTCCGTAGCAGCACACCTACATATGTACCTTGACAGAGGGGTTCGTCGGAAAGTGTCAGACAACCATGTCCTGACATTGGCATGGCGCGCATTTGCCAACGCACCATTTTCAACCTGGCCTGAGGTACTATCTGCTCGCGGCCAAACGGCGCAGGCATTCTCTTTTGCCCCACTTGCGTCCAGTTGCCACGTACGCTCCGACAAATGTTTTGCAGTAGCCAGTAGTCCTTCAACATGTTGCTGCGTGTGTCCGTTTGTTTGTGAATGGTACGCATGTAGATGTAGGGGTGTAGGTGTGCACGCAGGGACGGACGGAGGGAGGGAGGGATGGAGGGATGGATGGATGGATGGATGTGTGTATGTCATGTCTGTCATGTTATGGTCGTACGTCTCTATCATGCATGCATGCAATGTATGCATGCAATGTATGTATGTATGTATGTATGTATGTATGTATGTATGTATGTACGTATGTATGTACGCATGTATGTATGTAATGTAATGTAATGTAATTTTAATGTAATGTAATGTAATGTAATGTAATGTAATGTAATGTAATGTAATGTAATGTAATGTAATGTAATGTAATGTATATACGTATGTATGTATGTATGTATGTATGTATGTATGTATGTATGTATGTGTGTATGTATGTATGTATGTATGTATGTATGTATGTATGTACGTACCTACTTATGTAATTCCGTACGTCTCTTTGTACCGCAAAATAGTACAATGTGATAGAATGGATGGTACTGTAATAGGTAGCCTTACATTTGCCTGAAGCCCTCAAATCCCTAAGCCCGACAAACAAACGTAAACATACATGTATGTATGTATGTAGGGATTGCCGTAAGCCCAGTGGCCAGCTGCAACAATCTGTTGTCTTCGTAGCGAGAGTTTGCTAGCATGGGTTGAGGGCTTTAGAGTTAGGGCTTGCAGAGGTTATCTAAAGGGCTCCAAAGGGCATGTTGCCCTGCGGTGCACGCAGCCACGCCGAAGTGTTTCGCAACGGTCCTGATGGTCGTAGTCGGTACCAGACGCTTAAGCATGAGACTCCATGAGTGTAGCTGCAACGTTGGAATCGCTGATTGCTTGGAATTTGTGACTTAGTCCATTCCATTGGCAGGATGGCAGAGCATTTGCAGCTGAGGGAGTCTGAACGCTTGGGCCTCACACTAAACCGCGAAGTCTAAAGTTTTCAAGGGATCGGCTTCGACCTCCCTGTCGTTCTCTTGAGGTGCCCGCGAGGATCGCGACGGTCCCTCAGAAGTCTGGCTAATGCTGGAGCTGCAGTGCGACCATCAAAGAACTGAAGCAAAGTCAGCAGAGAGTTCATTTGTAAAGACAATGTTAATAGCAATATTGCATGTCGATACGAATACTGAGTGGGAGCAGTAGTCGTCGTCATCATCACTCTCCCGGACCGTGGTACGCACTGTTCAGTGACGCGAACGGCCTGTAAGCAGCATGACAGTGCACTGGTTGTCGAAGTCGTAGTCGTGGTAGTAGTCGTAGGAGTCGTCGTCGCAGTAGCAGTAGCAGTAGCAGTACCAGTAGCAGTAGCAGTAGCAGTAGCAGTAGCAGCAGCAGCAGCAGCAGCAGCAGCAGCAGCAGCAGCAGCAGCAGCCGTGGTGGTGGTCATGGTGGTAGTGGCAGTGGGAGTGAAACCCCTTCGTGCGTAAAGTCATGCTGGTGGAGCTGGCATGTGAGGGCAACCTTGATATGTGATGTGTTGATTGCCTGCTGATGGCTTAGAGCATGCGGCTGAGAGAGCCGATGATGTGCAAAGCCGAAGTAAAGTCCGAGTAGAGTTAATCGAATATATGATGTTTTGTGTGTTTGAGAAGACGGCAACAGTTCGAAAAAAACAGCTGCGGGCAGTTCTGCTCTGAGGCCAGGTCTCCGGCTCCTTCGCCCGGAGCCTGGCTCTCAGAGGGAGTCTCTTCCGCGTGTGAGGACCTGTGTGGTTGGAATTGTGTCGGGACGCAGAACACACGAATACCATGTTCCACCATTGCCGGACTGCATGTAAATAGATATATACACATACACATACATATACATGTACATATACACGTATCACAAAAATACACAGGCTACTTCTGCGTATACCTCATGTAGATTGTATTGTGATGCATTGTGTGCTTGCCTGTATAGATTATGATCATACACGCAACTTTGCGTCCCTTCGTTGGTTGTGTTCTTGAAGTGTTGTTTATTCGTTCAGTCATGTCTTATGCAGAGTTAGGTGAATTTGCAGCAGCAAAAGAAAGCGAAGTTAAGTCCCCTCTGTTGCTTGTAGATAACATACTGGAACATGTGCTCAGCATAGGATACAGTTAACGACCATCTGCGCAGCATGCTACATAACATACACCCAAAACGGAAATTCCAGTTGGTGCATACAGGCATCGGCGATGGATGACAGGTGGCCCGGATGCGTCGTATGCACTTCGCCGAATGCAAAGTGAACACAAATTGCTCCACAGGCCGGCCGCAGAGCCTCTTCGCGAAAACAGCACAGGCCGGATGTTTTCCACCAGCCGGTAAGGCTTTCAGGCATTAAAAGTGCGCAAGTGCAGGTACAGACGGAAAGGTACACGTGTTGGGCTCGGGCAGTGGGACTACGCAAAAAGACAGCGAGAAGGTGCGGCCCTCCATTCTGCGATTGCTTGTTGCCATACTTATGTCGTGTCTGTGAGTGAGGCCGACGCCCGTGCTGAGGCAAGGTGGGAAGGGATGGTGCGGTTGAGCCGTGTGTGGGCCTTGAGACATTGAATCGATTACGTTTTGGGCCAAGTGCACAGAGAAACAGGAGTTGGAAGGTTACTTGCCCTCCGCCGTTTACTGCAGGCTGCGGCAATCTTGCGCGAAGTTGGCAGCCGAGTTTGTGTCGACATCTTTGCATCTCTCAGCCTGCTCCGAACTTGTTGATGAAGTTTAGGCGACGCCTGAGCCACGTCCAGAGCACAACACAGCCGTTGGAGCCCTGGGCATGACGGAGGACTTTCCGCAGTCTGCAGCGAAACTGTAAGGTGTCCCCACCCTCCTCCACTCGAGCTGGCGTCAGACCCCCAGTGGCTCTGCGGAGTTTTCACCCATCCATACGGCACCTACGACCACCTACTACTACAGTGTCAGTGTGTTTTGTGGAGGTGACCCGGCCTGGCTCTGCCCGCACTGGGGCGAGCCCGCAGGACATTTCTCATTCCCAGGCAGACACCACGTCGGTCACGCCATTTGTTGCGACCCACAGTTTGCCGAAGGTGTCGACACCCACTGCGATCTCCGGACGCGCTGCTGTGCGAAGCTTATCATGTGCACTTTTGCCGCTGAAGATGAGCCCAGCCTGAGTAGCTCCAGTTCTGGACCGTCTCTTCGGCGCGCAACGAACATGTGCATCAGCCTTGTGGCACTTCGCCACGGTCGGAGCATCGACCGTGTGGCTTTCTGCAAGCGTTCGCCTGCGCATGAAGAATCATCCGCCGTGTTTGGCTTGATTTGACATGGGTTGTCTCTGCCAAAGAGCAGTACTTGCCATCAGCTAGTTTGCGTTTCTGCAAGGGCTCGCCTGCCCGTCGCCTCATCAGCCCTGCTTGCCTTTGCGGTCGCTCTCCCGGCGAATATACTGAGCATCACCTGCCTGTCTGTTTGCAAGGGTTCGCCTGCGCCAGTGTTCGCGTTTGATTTCGTAAGCCCTTCTCCCGGCGAACATCATCAACATCGGCTCTTTGGTTTTGCGGCGACGCTTCATCCAGCATCGGCAGTTTTCGCCGTTCATCTACTGAGTGTTCGCCCACCCGACGAACTTCGTGAGTATCAGCTGCTTTCGAGCTGAGCATTAGTTGCCTGCTCAACGCACATCATCAGTCGTGTGTATCTAGTTCGGCTTTCTGGACAAGATCATGAGCATCAGCTGTTGGACTGTTTGTGGCATTGCGCCTGTGCTCCGGTCGTGCATGGAGCATCATCAGCTTTTTGTCATTTTCGTCGACGAGTTGCCGCCAACATCATGCGCGTCAGCTGTTCGCTTTTTGCGATTCGCTTGCGCATGCTCTTCCTGCTAAGCACTTGTGAGCCGTTAGATCAGTGTGCAAAACTGAGGGAAGCCAAAATGAGAAGACTGGGGGCCGTGGACGGAGGGCGGCACTCCAATTGTCACACTGCTATGTAGGACAATTGTACATCGAATCGGCCCGGGTTCGGCCTCAGAATTTGGATATTTGCGACAGCGACGTCATACTTCACTTCTTCAGCTTGAACAGGTGTTCCGAGAAGCTACACAGGATTGGGCCATTCCAACAAAACCTTGCCACATGCTATCAGTGCATGAGCGCGTGACTGATGTTGCCGCGCTTTGCTAAGAGTGCCAATGTGCATGAGGTGACACGACCGAACTCGCTCCGCACCACCCAGGCGCAAGTGACATGGTGTCCCGAGTTGAGTCCAATTTCGAACGCAAACAGTTAAAGATGAAGCTGTCCACGGTCTTTGTTGGCGAGGCAAGCGGCAGCGATGTCACTCGCGATACGCAGGTCCAGCGACTCGAGACGATCATGCCAGCAGTAGTGGTAGTAGTAGTAGTAGTAGTAGTAGTAGTAGCAGCAGCAGTAGCAGTAGCGGTAGTAGCAGCAGCAGCAGCAGCAGCAGCAGCAGCAGCAGCAGCAGCAGCATCAGCAGCATTAGTAGCAGTACTAGTCGTAGCACTTGTGGTAGCAGCAAAAAATAGGAATCCCTGTCTGCAACAATTCACTTTCTTTCTAATTGAAAAGCCTTGCGAAATCATTGCCTCCCGTAGGAGTAGTAGTGGTAGTAGTTGTTGTTGTAGTGGTCGTGGTGGTCGTCGTCGTGGTCGTCGTCGTGTTGTTGTTGTGGTTGTTGTTGTTGTTGCTGCTGCTGCTGTTGCTGTTGCTCTTCTTACATATTGTTAGTCTTATTGTTATTATTGTCGTTGTTGTTGTTGGTGGTGGTGGGGGCGCTGGTGCTGGTGCATGTGCTCGTGCTGGTGTCGTTGATGTTGCTGTTGGTGTTGCTGTTGTTGGCAGCTGGCGCGGCTGCAGCCGCGAAGCATGCAACGATTGTGCGGCTGCGTTTTGACACATCGCAGTTTGGAGCAAAAGATTTGCGAGTTGGCTTTCGCATCGGTGTTTACAACGTGCTCCTTGCTGCTGGCGGAAAATCCGCGGTTTATGTGCCTTCACATGCTTTTTCTAGCTGTGTTCAATCGGGCACGGTTTCATTTTCCACATGTCTTTCGAGGGTGAGGGGGATGGGGTGGGGTGATGACGCCCATGGGGCGTACGGTGTATGTAATCCGTCTTTCTGTTTGTTTCCGTGCAAGGAAGGGGGTGGGGGGGGGGGTCCGTTTTTCGTTGTAAAACTGCAGGAAACTTAAGCCCTTCTGTCTCTTTGGGACTCCAGGTAGGTTTTTTGGGGGGTTTGGCCTCTTAGTCCTGCAGTTATATTGTTAAGCTATGGGCTTATGATGATCAAGTTGATAGTGATGATGCCATAGCTCCAGGAAATGAGGATGACCATGGTGATGATAATGATAAGAATGTTGCTACAGATGCTGATTGCACTGGCGGTGACGATGATGATCATGGTGGTGATGATGATAATGATTGTGATTGTGGCGATGACGATAACGATGATGATGACGATGACGTTGTTGGTCCATGTTGGTGTTGCTGTTTTCAAGATACCGAACACCAAACTTAAAATGATCGAAATCATACAAATGCTGGGTTATCCCTGAGACGGTCCTAAGACAAGCGTCTCGAGCCCCGTGGGATCTCCAAACACTAAAGACAAATTGAACCAAACACATAGAAAAAACTCTGCCAAACATCGTTATTTTATGAAATCCACAGAAAACTGGAGGTGTTTGCGTTTTTTAAGAAAGCCATACACCAAACAACGACACGCCCTTTGCGGCAGCAAACCGCCTTCTTGTTTTTCTTCTTGTTGCGGTTGTTGTTGTTGTTGTTGTTGTTGTTGTTCTTGCTGTTGTTGTTGCTGCTGCTGCTGCTGCTGCTGCTTGTTGTTGTGGGTGGTCGTGCTGCTGTGGCTGTTGCTTGTTGCTTGTTGCCGGCCGTTGACTGTTGGCCGCAGTTGTGCGTTGTGGGGCATTTGTGTTTGTTGTTGTCTGTTGTTGCTCGGTGCTGCGAGTGTTCGTTTGTTTTTGTGTTTGTGTTGTTGTTGTTGTTGTTGTTGTTGTTGTTGTTGTTGCTGTTGTTGTTGTTGTTGTTGTTGTTGTCGTTGTTGCTGCTAGCGTTGTTGCTGTTGTTGCTGCTGTCGTTGTTGCTGTTGCTGTTGCTATTGCTGAGTTGCTCTTGCTGTTGCTCTTGCTGTTGTTGTCGTCGTTGTTGTTGCTGCTGTTGTGGGCGGAAACGCTAGTGATGCTGGTGCTGGTGGCGTTCTGCTGCTGAAGCCGCCGCCGGCTCGTAGAGGATGCATCATGCCGGTGCACAATTTGTTGACACAACAACTGGATTACGAGACTATACACTCCTGAAGCTGATGATAGACTGTAATCTGGAGCTTCTCTGCAGGTTTCTCCGCCAACCTCTGGACGAATTGGAGTCGGCGGCACAGGAATCTCCTTGACGGGGGGGAACTCTGGCTTTGACTGTACCGCTGGTCGTCGGACATAGCAGATAGCATCGACGTGTAATTGGGAAGCGCAGGGTCCATCAATAAATGGGAGCTTTTGTCTCAGGGTTGAAAGGCATTTCTTGGGTCACGATGGGGGATGCTTTTCGTGCAGGTTGTGTCTCAACCGAGGTGGCGCGACCTACCTCAGCACGCGCTGGCGCCGCGCCCCTGGTTGCGCCCACCGACCGAGAGAGAGACAGAGCATACGAGAGACTGAACCGTATTTGGGATCTCTCCAAGGCCAGCCCGCAAGACGTCGCTCGGGACTCCCAGACGTTCTGCTACAGCATCTTCAGGAGTTTGAGGCCGAAATTCTTCTAGCTTACAAGCTGCTGTCCTCGTTAAGGTGGCTCGCCACACCCCGACATCTGCAAGGGTAACAGCCGGGACTTCACAGCTACAACAGGGTGTGATTGCTGCCCAAGATATTTTTGTCGTCACTTGCAAGGTCCCAAACTCTCCGACTCCCTCCATTGCAAGCTCCTCTGGCGGAGTGCGGGTCATAGAAGCTTTAGAGAGGATGTTTCCCCTGCTCCCCTGCAGTCGCTCGTTTGCATGTTTGAGGTTTCGGCAGACATTCGTATGGATATCCAGGCTCAGCGAAATAGCTGTCGAGTAGCAGCCAAGCGAAGTCGAGACGTTACACTGGCTAGGCCCACTACGTGCTGAGGCAAAGCGGGGAAGTGGGGAGAGGGCGAACTTATGCGAGGGTCTGCTCGTGGATGCTAGTTTGCATCTGGGCATGCTAGCCCTTCCGTACCGCTCAGGATGGCGCAGACTCCGGCCAGCGTTGCACGCTCCAGCACCGTGCCATCACGGCCTGTGATCCAAGGCTCGCCGAGTGGGTTGAATTCCCACTACTAAGTGATGTCACAAAAGCTTGCAAAGTTCACAGATCTCTCTGTTACGTAGAAGACAAAAATTGTTGTAGTCTGTTGTTGTATATCAACGGCTTCTTGCCCTTTTGGCTTTCAGGAACACCGCAGACTGCACCGAGCACGCCTCGCCAACCAAGCTCCCGAGGCCCAGCGGCACTGCCATCAAGATTTTGGAAACCTCTAGCACATGAGATGATATAAGATGCGTATATATTTACAATATTTACAACAAACATATACAAAAACATGTATTTATTTACTTATGTGTCTTTACACATTGTCTCAGTAGATTGCACTAGATCATGCTATGTTCTACCATTATATTATACTACCATATTCTACTATCTTATGCTTTCAAACAGGATTTTGTGGAGGCCTGCGTTTTCTGGGTTTAGGCAAAGTAAACGGTCCATATAACATGGCTGATCAAACACGACTTTCAATCAAGCACGAACATATACCATAGTATACCGCAATATAGTACAAGGTAAGAGAATGCTAATGTACTTGAATATGCTGTGTGGCATCACGACAAGCTACAGCGACAATCCTGAGAAAATCCCAACCTGATGGTTCAGAGCGGAAGGCCAGGTAAATAAAACCCCAACAAAAAATCCATAGCGACACGGATAGACGCTGGAGCGCGACTTCATCCGTGGGGGGAATTACGACCTTCTGTAGCTCTGCGCATATCTGACATGCATGTTGGCCATCTCTTGTGACTTTGCCAGGTGTGCCAGAGGTCAGCAAGGCAACTTCCAGTGCAGATGACACAGTGAACTTGCAGTATGTTTCCAAAGTGCGATGGTCCAGGTGGGTCACCGCATGGCTGGGTTCCAAGCCGAAGCGCAGCAACGCGAAAGATGCTACGGCTTTGTTCTGCTTTGTTGCTTGTGGCCCGTTTGGCCGAGGTAGCATCGCCCAACCCTTCGCATCGTGCCGGGTCCTCACTGGAAAGTCCGCAAAAGACTGGAAACGGCTGACAGTTGGCCCCAGCACCAAGGGTTTCAGGCAGGTTCAAGGATTGCAGACAGAGTCCCGACCGGACATAATCCTTTGCAGATGCATCGATTTCTTGGAGCATTCGAAGGTCACTCTCTCGAACTCTGCGCGCGCAGCCCGTGCCGACCACCAAGCGATGACTGTCCTTGCAGCCCTCCGGCCACTGTCCTTCTGGATTGCAGGTTCCAGAAGTGCGCCCCGATCAACAGGCTGCAGTTGGAGTGCTGTCGGTTCGCCGAAGTTGGAACATGATGTCAAGAATTGTCGAGGCGACCAGCCAGGCGCGCTATGTCGTTCGCCCTATGGTGTCCGGCCCTTGGTGTGCGGAGATGTGGCAAACGCTCGTGGATGCACCACGCCATCGCAGGGTGGGCGGCAGAGTGGCTGGCTCGAGCCCCGTCCAAGTTTCCCGGCGTGTTGTGACAGGCGACTGCTTCGCGACATACCCCAACAAACTCCAGCCCGGAACAATCTGCAGTGGTTCACTTTGTGCAGGCCATGGAGCCCAGGCCACGCCGAGCACACCACGTCAGCCCACTTCCCGAGGCACGAGCCTTGAAGGTTCAATTCATGCTGTTCTGCAGATGACTGTAGGCGTCGTGGCACCAACTGCCGGCTCCCCGGATTTCGTGCTGCCGACTTGCAAGGTAGTAAAGCAAGTGCTCCAGGCTCGAATGGCCTATCCCACCGCATGGGCATATGGCCGCGTGCGCTGAACGCCGAAAGATAGACTCGTCCGAAGTCTTTGAATCATCGCACGGCCGCGGAGTTGCCAAGTTGCGTCGTGCAAGGCTACAATTCTATTCAGGCAGCACCCCCCGCCCACAAAAGACAAGCTAAACTTTGCCTCTGCATCCGTTACTAGTGCCAAGAATCCCACCAATCGGTGGATGCTCGCTCGACGAGCTGTTTCTACCCTTGGCGCGAAGCCAAGTCTGGACTGCTTCCTGCGCCGGGCTGCGGCGCATTCAGTAGAGGACCTCCAGCACGCCCGAATTCCACAACTAGTGACTAGTGGGCTGTTGGATCCGGAATGAACGGAATGGGAGGTCCGTTACAGACAGTGTGAAAATGAATCCATTTTCAATACAGCGGCGAAGCAAAGGCCATCCCGTAAGGAAACAATTTGTGATGGATGCTTTCGATAAGATTCCGACTCTCTGAGGCGTTTTGTCCGACACTGCCAGGCCAAACTGTGGCTTGAGTGAATGCCTGTAGCCTGCCGCAACTCTTGGACCAAGCTCCGCGCAGTGCACCCGGGAGGGAAGATGCAATCCAAGGCTAGATGGGAGTTTCCGAAAATTAGGGGTACCTTATAATAGGGATCCTACTATTTAGGGTACTATATTAGGGTCCCTTATTTTCGGAAACCCCCAGATGTCTTGCCACATCCTACTTTCCTAAAGTGATACGCTACTACTGGTTAAGCATCAATCAAACGAGAGAGTGAAGGAAGCCTAAGCTAAAGAAGATATAGGAATAATTTCCCGATTCGAGCTATCCGAGATCCCCCAGCGTGTGTTAAAGCCCGCCACCACCCGCCAATTCAAGGATAATATTTGAGTAAATAGGCAAGAAAAAGAAGATACGGCAGTGAAATATCGAAGGAGACCGAAGAGACATCTAATGTGGGGTTGCTATCGGAGATGCCGCAATGCAGCTGGCCGAACGCAAGGGAGACCCTAGCGGAGCCCTGGCAGATAAAGGAAGAAAGACCTGCGCCGGGAATTCATCCTATGCATAATTCTCTATGGGCGCAGTTCTTCCAATCAAGGAGGGTCCGATGACCATTCAAAGCTTCATATAAGCCTCTGTAGAAGTCAAAAGCCAGATGAGCATGCTTGGCCTCCCCGACTTGCGATTTCTGGTGCTGATCAATTTTGGCAGGCTCTCGCTTGAGGAGTTTCCCCCAAAAATTAAGTTTCAGAGAAGGTGGTGCAATCAACAAGGTATCGGCGGGCCGTATCTGAGTGGAGCTCGATAATCAATGCTGTTGCTTCCAAGGCGAATATTTATTCCTGTGTCGTACATGGTTTGTCGCATGATGACCGCACGGATCGAAAGCTTATCCACAATGCGCGCACCCCTCATCCCCCTTAAAAATCGGAATCCCCAGTCGTATACTGACAATGTTTGAAAGTACCATGTGGACTTGCAACCACGCCCCAGCTCCTAGTGCGTTGACAATCGTGCAGAGAATCTTTTGCTATAGCTTTAACCTCCAGCTGATCCGACACATGGGAGACATCCTGGTTACATTGGCCTTTGCAGGCCCGACCGTGAACCGCTCGCAGATTGGAGCTTTCCTTCTTGTGATCTAAGCTCTATACCCAAGAATGGCTGCTTGCATCTGCTTGCCGCTCCACGAAGCCACGGCAGCCATAGCACCTGGTCGTTGACGGCTACCAAATTCCGTAGTACTCTACTACAGCACCACACTTGTTGGGTCGTAGGATGGCGCAGGACCAGAACCCCCGGTCTGTGCTGTGCGGAAGAAGCCGAGGAACATCTCCTTGGATCCAGACACTCCGCTGGAGAACTACACAGAGATCACGGCCTACACTCGTGCCTCGCTCTCTGGGATCACGCTTTGGGATGTGCAAGTTATTAGTATTGCGGACTATTGAACTATTGATTTGTATCCGTCGTCTTTGACTCGAGTCCTGCTCGAATTTCGAGCTTGTTGGCACCACTTTGGTACGCTTTCCCAACGGTTGACCCGTGAACTTGAGATTTGAACACTGCCGAACTACTCAGACAACGCATTTCCAGCCAGCAAGAGACCTCGTTGCGATGGGGCGCTTCTCAGGACATGTGACGGATGTGCTCATTCTCATGCTCGCAAGATCGACCGCTGCAGGATTGTAGAGCTCAGAGTCAGATGGGCAATACAGCTAGTGTGTTCACTAAGAAAATGGGAGTGAAATTCGCCGCCATCCTAGCAGACTTCTGGTGCCATGGAGCAGGCTTCACCACGAAAGGGCAAGAAACGGAGAGTGTCTGCACTTGAGATGACTGCGGGAATGTCGCTGGATGCAAGCAAACCCAAGCAGACGGTTCACACCTTCTTATGCAGACGTTCCGACAGCGGACATATCAAGAAGGGCGTTGACTACAGTTATGCCAGCCAAGAAAATGACAAGGGGATTGTGTCCATGCTGACCGTTCCACTTTTCAACGATCGGAGCTACACAGGCGACTCATTTCCGACTCAGCAGCAAGCAGAACGTTCGGCAGCGGAATCCTTCCTTGCGGATTTGGATGTCGTTGCAGCTGCGAAGACCCTCCCGCCACCAAGATGGTTGCTCCAGCGTCATGCTCGTGAAACCACCTCTCAGCTGGCGAAGGGAGTTAAGCATCATAGGCGTGAGGGTGGTGAGCCTACCAGGTTCAAAGTCATCTGTGATCAAAAAGCGTCTGCCTTGTACAGGCAGTATCGGTAGCACTCGAGTGCTGCAGCCATACCTCGTAGCCCCAAGAGGCCCAAGAAGAGCTCGACTGCGTACCAACCGCGGAAAAGGGGTTGGGAGAAGTAGTGCGATCAAATCACTGTTGGGCCCCACTTTGTTTTCAGACGCTCCATGTGAGAGACACATGTGCACATGAAATGAGATAGTAGATTTAATTAAATACTATTTTAGATCTGGCAAGATATCCATACTATATTACATTTATTCATATTCATTCATACATTACTCATTCACTTCTTATTTCCACCTTGCACCGACTTAGGAATTTCCATATCTTCGTATTATATAGATATCAAGAATTTGAAATACGAACGTCCTCCTTGGAATTTCTATATCTTTATCTTATATATTAAGACCACTGGGAATTTATAATATATATATCTACCTTGGAATTTCTTTATCTTTATCTTATAAATATTATAAATAGTAGGAATCTATATTAAAAATATCTATATAAGAATTTATTATAGAATTATATTTCTAGTAAATTCTATATTTTTATTTCATAAATATTATATGAATATTAAAGATATTTCTAATATAATTTCTTAATAATCTTAAAATATAATGAAAAAGAAAATCTAGGGTCTTCAAACAAAAATTTTTAATATAATAAATAAGATTTATAATGGAAAGGTAAAGAAATTCTAGAAAATATTTATATTTGAATTTCTAATTGAATATATTATATAAAATAAAATTATAGAAAAGAAAAATATTCGTATTATTAATTCTTAATATATATAATATTTTCAATAAATAGATATAGAAATTCATATGATGAACT